TGCCCACCAGCCAGACCTGCTCTTTACTCTGGAACCAGTCCCTGTCCCCAGGATATCTCCCAGGCTTCTGACAAAACCAGGGAAGACATTTTAGGAAAGTTTTATAACTTTCCCTATCTACATGCGGGGCAAGTGGTGGGCTGTGAGGGGAGACACATTCCTCTCCCAGCGAATGCACGCTGGGGGCCACACAATATCCTGTGAATGTGGGTACACATAGAATGCCACTCCAGAGCATTAAGCTCCATGATGTTCTCACACAGGACCCCCTCGGTGCTTCTCACAAAAGAGAGAAGCCTTACTTTGGCCTCCATGATGAGAAACCTTGTCACAACAAGCCACCACTAAGGAGTCTGAGGTCACGGAACCACACATCAGTGCAACACACTGCATAGAGTCATGCCTGTACTCATGCAACATTAGCTCCTGGTGAAGCGCGGTGGTGTGAAGGAAACTTATCCTGTGCATGGGAACCTGCCGGGGGGAAGAAGAGGAGGGAAACCCAGTAGCTCTCTCTCTGGCAAGCTGTGTCTGCTGCTCACACACACTTCCCCCAAACCCTCCCACCCGCTTCCTCCAATGGGCAGAGATAGAAGTTCTCTCTCTGCAAGACACCACCAGTGCTGGACCCAGTGTGTGGGGGACACAGAAGGAAGCTGAGCTGCCCATTTCCTCATTTACACTGCAGACTTCTGGCCAGGTCATCATCTTTCCATGTCTACTTGTCTTTGAGTCATCGATGTTGCAATGCTCCCCTGGGACATCTGCTCCCAGGCAAAAGAGTGCCCACTTTCTAGGCAATAAATGGCCCTGCTTGAAGCACATCATCATCTTCTGAACTGAGACCTTTGGTGTCAGCTCAGAGATTAGGGAAAGGCTTCATACACAGTGTCCCATGGGATGAATGCCCTTGTAACTTTTCTTCATAGCTGGGCCAGCTGCAAGCCTGGCATGTCACCTACATCCATCTACCTGACTCATGGGATCGACAGGGGCAAACGCACCTGGGAAGACCTGATGCGTGAGCAGATGGCCTGTAATCCCTTATCCAGGGATTCAAGGACTAGTGCCAGGAGATAGTCACTGCCTGGGAGGAGTGCCAGGCCAACCAGGAGAAGAACCGAGCTGACAGGGAGCAAAGGAAAGCCTCCTGGGACCAGCTGGTGAGCCAGCATGACACCATGTACTCCTCTCTCACCTTGGTGATGGAGCACATGGCCTCGTGCATGGAGCAAGCCACCAGACACCTCCCTCTCCATGAGTTCCCCTCCTAACTTTTCCAAGGAATGCCAGGGCCCCAGAACATGGAGCAGTGGGAACTTTCAGACAGCTGAAGCCTCCTGACAATCCAGAGGCAGGTGCCAGTCTCAGACCCATCCCTATGCTTCCCTTCCCACCTCTCCATTCCAGGTCTTTTCCCCAGTCCCTCCCTGTTCTACGTTCCCCAATAAACAGTCCTGTTTTTTTTTAAATGGTTTTATTATTTGCTCTGAATGGAGGAGGGAAATTGGGAAGGGAGGGTGGTGAAGGGAAGGGTGTGAGAGGAAGGTCATACAGAGAGAATGCAGGGGCCTTTGTGGAGTGGGGAAAGTCTCACAACTGAATTTGCATGAAACTCTCCTTCAAATGCTCTCTGATGTGCACAGCCCCTTGATGCTCTCTCTGGTGTCCACCTGCTCAAATTCCCTGGCCAGCCATTTAGCCTCTGCACCACTAACCTGGCAGGAAAGTTTCCCTCTTGCTTGGGGGAGGGGGTGAGAAGTGAGGGCAGGGGAAGGGAGGGGTGGGGGAAGAAAGGCACACAGAGGGAATGCAAGGGCCCTTGTGGAGAGGCACGGAAGAGAGTCTCACAACTGGCATTGCACTCTCCCTCAAGTCCTCCCTGATGAACACAGCCATTTGATGTTTTCTCCTCATGGCACTAGTGTCTGGCTGCTCAAATTCTATGGCCAGATGTTCAGCCTCTGCTTGCCACCCTGGCAGAAAAGTCTCCCCCTTGCTCTCACAAAGGTTGTGGAGCACACAGAAGCCTCCACCACGAAGGGGATGTTGTGCTGCTGAGGTCCAGGTGAGGAGACTCCTGAACTTCCCCTTTAAATGGCTGAACATACATTCAATGACCATGCAGCAACTGCTCAGACTGGCATTGAAGTGTTCCTTGCTGGAGTCCAGGCTGCTTGTGTAGGGCTTCATGAGCGAGAGGAGCAAAGAGTAGGCTGTGTCACCTAGGATGACAATGGGCATGTCCACTCCCACCCCACCCCCTGACTCTGTTGGGGGGAAAAAGTGCCAGCGTGCCTCTTTTGGAAAAGGCAGGAGTTCACCAGGGCCTGCAGCACCATGAAGATAAGCACCCTTTCTGTTGATAAAGTTCAAGGCACAGTGGGTGGGGGCCAAGATGAGGATGTGTTATCTGTCCATGCCAGTCCTGCCCTCCAGTTGGGGAAGCCCATAGTGGCAAAGCCATCGACAATGCTGTCCATGTTTCCCAGAGTGATAATCCTCCGTAGCAGCATGTGGCTGACGCTACTTATATGAGTATGATCCCGACTCTGAAATTCTCCACACCAAATTGGTTCCTAATGGAGCGGTTGATGTCTAGCGTGGCAAGCCTCCAGAGGGCTATGGTCACATGCTTCTGCACGGGGGATGGCAGGTCTCGTGAAGGTGTCCTGTCACTTGAGGGAAGGGGCAAGCCACTTGCAGAGCTCAAAGAAATTCTGCAGCCACTGCTGGTCATCCCATCCCTGTATGATGATGTGGTCCCACCAGTCCAAGCTCATCTTTTGCCCCCAGAAGGGGTGTTCTGCAGTGTCCAAGGGATTGAGGGGCATGCTCAGTAGTAGGAGTGCCAGACCTGGGTGAGCAGGCCTGCAGTTTATGCTAGGGTTTATCTTGCATATCCAGGTCCTTGTCCTGCTGGAGCAACATGCGGGTAGTCTGGAAGTGCTATGCCATGTAGCATAGCATAAGGCCTGTGAGTCTGGCACTGCTTTGCAGCAGCTCTGGCTCCCTGTTGTGAGTGCTGTGGCAGCTGCAAGGGCAACCAGAGAATAAGAAGCCACATGCCACTTTGTCCATTTGGTGTTCCTCAAGGGGCGAGGCAGTGGAGGAGTTGCTTGTGAGATGCGGCCATAGGGAGGAGCCCCTGTAAGCACGCATTGCTTCTTGTCTGACCAAGCAACCAGAGGAAGTATCCACCCTCCTGGTAACCTTCCCAGAGAGCTTTCTAGGGCTCTAAGTCTGAGGCAGGCTCCAATCAGTGTGGACATGCTATTTTGGACTAATTCTAACTAATGTTCATGCTTCCACATAGTGCATCACCCCATGCCCCTCAGTGCAAACTCTGTCCCCACCCATCCTGCCTCCATAGCATGATCCCCTAAATTGCCCTAGGCCCCTCAGTGTAACCCCTACCTCTTCCCATCCTGCTCCCGCATCCTCCTTCAAACCTCCCTCCCGCCCCCACATCCTCCTTCACCCTTCTTCTTTCCCACCATATCCCTGTATTCTCAGTACACTCACTGGTAGGACAGCAGAAATGGGACTCGCAGCCTCCAGGAGCAGTGCTGAGGTGAGGAGGGGGAAGGGTCAGAGTCTCTTCCCTACCCGGCCCAGTCCTTTGCCTGCAGGCAGTGGATCTGGGCTTGGGCAGGCAGAACCCAGGGCCATCCAGGGCTGGCTTCAGCCAGTCCCAGTGCAGCGGGGTGCTGGGGAAGGTGACCCCACACACGGCCTTCAGGTAACAATGTCCCCAGCGTGCCACACGTACCAGCCACCCAGCCCCCTCCTGGAGCAGGAAGCAAGAGCGGGGATGCACATGTGTATTTGCACATGCACCTCTTTCCCCTCCCAGCCATGCTCCAGCTGGACTGGATCAAAGGGCAGCTGCCCAGCTAGCAGCCACGTGGTTAGATGGCTAGGCGTCTGCACCTTTTTGATCCAGCGCAGCTGGAGCATGGCACAGCCTCAGCAGGCTGAACACCATGCTTCAGTTGGGCTGGAGCAAACAGGGACAGCCACCTGGCCAGCTGGCTGTGGCGATCAACCCAGCTGGCTGTGGCGCTGTGATCGACCAGTCGATCATGGTTGACTGATTGGTGACCATTGCTGTAAAGGCAAGTGCCATTCTTTCCCAGGTGCTTGAATACCATTGGAAAGTATTTTTTTTAATTAATAGGAAAGGCTAGGAGAACTAAAAAAGAAAGTTACAGCTGGCCTTAATGTTTGTGTGCCAATGTTTATTTAATTTACTCATGAGTTTATATATTTTATAGGTGCACAGAATTACTGTCCCAGAAACTATATTTGTTCTTCTCTTTGTACTCTGGATAAAAATTTTGAATATATGACTGATGGGTACCCTGTTTATAATGGAGAGTCACAGCAAAGTGCATTCTGAGACTCTTTGGACAGTACACCATGATTCTTTCTTCGCCAAGAGCTATCTGCAGTTTCTGTGTGCTAGAAGCTGCTCTGTCAGGATGTGGCAGTAACAGGCTACATAAATCAAGTTCAATCATAAAAAGGGTTATCAATACTACTAGATAATAGAACATAAAGTAATTATTGAATCAGAACAAAATATATAGGTTGGTGTAAAGATAAAATACTTTGTTTGGAGTCTTGTGTATTAGCCATCAGCAAGGATATTTTTGCATTACATAGAAGTTAATTTTCAAAAGAGCTTTATTATTGGAGGCCACACTATGGGTATATTTGCTAATGTACTTTGTAAACGGAAAAATTGCTATACATTGTTTTTGGTATTAAGAGAAAGGCAAAACTTCATTGTTATGAAATGAAGAAATATATATTTTGCCATGAAATTACTTAGGCAAAATTTGCTGTAGGATTAGATTAAATTTGGAAAGACCTTAAAGCCTCATATAAAGAAAGTGCATTTTAAAATCAAAAGAAAGCAATTATTTGCACAATCTAATGTGACTATGAAAATGCAAATGGCCTTCAAACATGGCTTTTTAAAAATTCTCTTTCAGGGACGAAGCTGTGAGCTTAATTACAATGATTGCCTAATACAGACCTGCTCTGCTGGGTTTCTTTGCAATGATGGAATAAACAATATCACCTGTTTACCTGCTATACCCAAAAGCAACAAAACTATCATTGAAATGGTTGGAGTGCCCCCTACTGAGGTTTTAGACAGTGACCTTACTCCAACAGCTTCTGTTTCTACTGGGATTTGGTCTAAACATGCTACTTCTGATTTCCATACAGCACAGATATCCCAAGGTAAGATGAATAAAGCTCAGAGGAATCCACATGTTGATACTTGTCTCTGTATTAGTGCCTTAAAATGTGACAATATAGAATACAAATGTTTTCTTTTTCTTTCATCTGGTTGTTTTCAGTCTTAGCTCTTTTCCCCCATTTTACTTCATTCTCTCTACGTGAAGGCATGTCTACACTAGGAAATTATTACAAAATTCCTAAAATTGACATAACTTCTGATATTACGAAATTGAAATAGCGTATTCCCACTACTGGGAAACCTCGAAATTAGTCAGAGGCTGGCTCCATTAATGTGGATATGCTACCTCGACTTAGAGGTCCAGGAAGCACTGGGGAGTAATTCGTTTGAATTACTTTGGGGAAAAGTTATTTTGAAATAGCAATGTCGGAGCATCCACACTAACACTATTTAAAAAAAAACTATTTTAAAATTGTGATCTATTAATTTAATGAATGGTAGTGTTGGACTTTGTACATTAAATTCCATAATTGAAAGAAGTATGTAATTTTAGAGGTCCTAATTTTATTTAGGTAATGCAGTTTTATTTAACATTTTATTTTCTTCAGAGGCTAATCCTTATCTCAGTTACGTTTTTTTAGGAGATAATCATCCTAGTTAAGCAAGTAGTATGAGATCCAATTAGTAAATAGAACAGTAATTCTTCTAACACATCATATCAGCCAATACGCTGAAGTTTTCAGTGGCAAAGATTTGTAATTCATTCATTTTATATTGATTCACAGGAGCAATTTGATTTAGAAAATTTAATGCTTCTGTTCTGAGCAATGCCATTTGTTCTGACTCTGGCCCTCACACAGAATCTGAGTAATGGGAGGGTTTCCGTTTATTCAGCTCTTGAGGTCACTAAAACCTCTCTAACACTTTTATTAAGAATATGATTTATGGAGTTGTATTTGTCTGCTATATAATGCCTTGGTAAGAATTAATGGTTTTTAGGTGGCAGTGCAATTTGCTGCAGATTCATCCCAGGGCCAAAGTTGTTCATTTTTTATTTTATTCTAAATCTTTTCTACTTTTTATCCTCAAAGGTCTGAAAAAGACACACATTGTCAGATATGGGATTCATTCTGACCACTAATGTGGCTAACTTAAACTCTAGCATATCTTTGGAAACAAGTGGACTAGAGAAAGTAACTGCCACTGAAGAGTCTTCAACATTTTTCAGGCTAGCTTCCTCAACTGATGTTCTCATTCCACAAATTCTTAGTTTTGCTGTTCTGGTTTACACACACAATCTGACATGACACCTCTGCCAGAAGTAGACATTGGTTCTTCAATAGAGTTAATGGCTGGATTGCTTTCCCAGGAGAAGTGAGATATGAACCCATTTATCAGTTGTTCATTAATGGCAGTTTCTGTTTATTCAAAGTAAGCCACATTATTTGAGAGCCTTCACACTGTTTCTTTATGGGCAACAGACATGACTTCAGTAATTAGTAGCATACCAGGGGCTGAGATTGAATTAAATAGTTACTCATTACTCTCTCATGGATGCCTGCTTACAACTGCTTCTATGAGTGCACCTTCAATTCTCTCTAGGTTGCCTCAAGAGAGTACCATAGAACAGTCAGCTGTTTTCTCAGAATCAGGAGGAGAGAACTGGAATTTACTGAATCCCTCCATGGCTCTCAATTCTCTTGTTAAGATATTTATTTCAAAACAGGTAGCTTTCTTTAGCTAATTAGCTATGCACAAAGCCCAAATGCAAACATCCCTTCCCAGTGAATATCTAGGTATTACATTTCATCCATCGACCAGAGACTCACAAACATCAAATCACAGTCTGTTGATTCTTTAAGTGAATTAAGCCAAACATGTGCAACGTGTTCTATGACTGAAATAAAACTCTCTGATGAATTCTCAGATCAAGCTTTGCATAGCAAACAGTCCCCTTTTTATGAGACATTCTGGATGGACTCAGTGATATTAACCAGCTGGTTCACACTAATGGGAACTACTGCTATTACTTCTGGGCATTCATTTTCTTCAGCTAGTGAAATAACATCATCAGTGGAGTTCACAGAACTGTCTTCCTCACGGCCACTAAAGAAAGAACAGTTAAATTCCTAACAGCAGGATATCTTCGATGTCCTTGCAAGAATTGAACACTATTTTTCCATGTATTTATTCAGATTGCATAACCATTGTCCCTTCACAAATCATCCTTATAGAACTATCATTTTCAACAATTATGTGCTCACAAGAAATCAACAAAGATTTGACAAGAAAATTAACTGCTGCTGAACAGCTGATAGCAAAACCAATACTACCATTGAAATCAAATCTATATGATCTGATTATGGATGTGTCTCAGTTAAAGGGTCAAGATACATTTTTACTCAGCTGAGTGGTTCATTTCAAGAACCAATTACCAGCCACATAGCACATAGTTTTCTGAGCTCAAAACACATTTACAAATTAATCCAGATGAGAACAGAACAGTTCAGGCAAATGTTCTGGCTATGCACCTTCTCTCTATGGAAGTTCCATATATAGAGTTAATGGTTGATTACCCTGAAGGACATTCATTATTTGCATATTTTAGTAATATGCTACCTTATTCAATTTTACTTGGGCAATTGCACCACAAATACATTCTCCTAAAATTTTAGAAACACAGGATTTATCATCTCATGCTGATTTTCGAACTTTAAATTCTGCTTCACAAGAGTACTGCTCGGGAATATTTGAAATGCATACTTAGTACTGCTATTCATGATAAGGAGCTTTTTACAAGTCTAAACACTCTTCTACCCAAATATCATAGTATGTCTTCAGTGGACTCAGCTCCTGGCCTTTATCAGCTGACATTGTCTGGTGAGTTTCCCATTTATATTCAGTAAACTTTTCAAGTTGGTGTTTTTTATACAGAGATGAAAGAGCCTGTCATGGTTGCCAGGTGCTCAAAACAGATTCATTGTAATCAGGGCAGCAGCCAGTTCAATGGATATGACACCTGCTGCTGTACCTGACACAGATGGTTATCCTTCATGCACTGCCACATAGGCTATCAGATCAATATAGAAGTAGGTTGGAGACTGCTATACTGCTGGCAAGCAATCAAAGACTGAAAAAGTCCAATTCTTTACAATGAGTCTTTCAGATTTCAAGTGTAACTTGAATAAGTGTTTCTTTCTTTCTTTCTTTCTTTCTTTCTTTCTTTCTTTCTTTCTTTCTTTCTTTCTTTCTTTCTTTCTTTCTTTCTTTCTTTCTCTCTAAAAATACAGCTCTCTCTCCTTGGATACAACATAAGAAACAATACTTCACATTGTGGGGAGAGTTGTTTTAATTAAAAATCACAGAAAGATCAAGTTACCTCTGGAGAGAAATGTTTTATATGTAAAATATGATAACTGGTGCTAGATTTGATTTTAAAATAAGACTAAAATTGTGTCTAAAACTCCATTAAGAACAATAATTAGTGATACATTTGTAAGAATACTGTGACACTTGCAGTAATGAGATCTGGAGATTTAGAAAAATGCATTTTAAAAAAAACAGGACTACGATTTCTAACATAGGAAAAAACATAGATTTTTAAAGCTGATGTTAAAATATTGATATTGTTGGAATATATTCAAAACTCTCTTCTGCCTATTGCCAGGAAAAGCTTGTAAAATGAATGACAGTGAATCTCGAGAAAGGCTTGAGAAACAAGCTTTCAGAGCTTGCTTGCCTTTGCTTGAGATTACATTGTGAGAAATAGATTACCTTTATTTTGTTGACTCTGTACCATATGGAGAAAATACAAAGCTTTCTTGAATGCAAAAGTCAGGCACAACAATATCGTCACTTGCATGTTGACATAACTATTTTCAGCATGTAGGAAAGAGCAATCATTCTTCTTGAAGTGACTATCCATATACATGTGTATTCATGTATGTAAAATTGGACTCGCTTGTCCAGCTGCTTCTGTTGGAACTGCATTTGTGCCCTACATATTCTCTCATCTCCCCCAAATCAAGATATAAAGTGGAGAATTGTTTCATCTGTCCTTCAATGCCTTCTTACTGCCCATGGCAGTATGATGGAACTCTTTCAGAGTTCACCATCCTATTAGGGGATTCTTGCAGTTAGTTTGCCTCTTGGCTTAAAAATTGAAAAAAAAAATTTAAAATATTTTTTACTAACGTTTCGTAGATATTCTGTAGGCTCCATGCCCCTTTCCATGTTCCTCCTGACCAATTTGTTCCAGTATGAATGGGCTCCACACTAGACACCCTGTCAGATGCCTTTCTCCTTTCCTGGACATTGGGACTGTTTATATCTTCCGACTGATCTGTATGATGCCAAAAGTCCTGAGGACACAAGCTGCGGATGATGACAATAGCGCCAGCATAGGCCAGGCATCTATGGGGTTCAGATCTGGTGAATCTCCCAATACAGTCCCCACTCATTTTGACTCATATGCCCAAATAGTCTCACAGAAGAACAGGCTGATCCTATGCTTATCAAAAAAGCTACTCAGCTGAAATTAATAATATTCTACTATATATCAGGAAACATTCAACTATACTGACATATAAAGCCAAGTAGAAAAAAGTCCACTTGGCCATTCTCCTTTCTAACACCCATTTCAGTGATATTGGATGGACTATTTACTAATGATGTAATAATCTGGAATTTCTGTTAGTTCCATAAAGGTCCATTAAGCAGCAATATCTTTTCATCGCCCTAACATATAGGGCCACATTTATTCTCCCACGCTTCAATTACTAGATTCTTTAAGGACCATATTCCTACATTTTGGGAACCCCTTTCCTCTTGAGACTTCAGAATAGATTTAACCATGTTGATGGCAACCAGCTCCCTATGTCAACTATCAATTAAGACTGCCTTTTAAGTAGCTACTACATCAACTTAAAGGAGAGGGGAATTTCAAATTCTCATGGAGTGCTTCCCTTTACACAGTGTTTCATAAAGAATAGGGTTAGTCTCAGGCCTCATCTCAGGATCCTGTCAAAAACTGTGTAAGTGC